TTCTTCAATTATGAGTTGTATGTTGGCTTCCAACTTCAAATCAATCACTCCCTCTAGTTTTCTTGCAACCTTGTCATACAACTCCAAATATTCGTTTGCAGCAATTGCTTCAATTATCTTCTTAATACCAGTGGCTGTTGAAAAATTGGATGAGCCATCAACTTCTCTATCAATAAGATACTTTGTCTTCATTATGAGACCATTTACAAACATGTGAATTTATTCAATTTGATCCATATTATGAGTGGGACAAGCTACTAATAACCTCTTTAACCTCTTATAAGCATCACCTAGTGACCCTCCTTCTTTTTGCTTAAACTTCACAATATCATATCTTTTGTAAATATAAAGAAAAGCAGAAAAGTATTCATCAATACAAGTTTTCTCCATCTCTTTTCAAGTATTAATACTCCCAACAGGTGATGAGTAAAACCACTCTTCAACTTCTTCAGATAGCATGAATGAAAAAATTCTTAATTTCTTTGCTTCTTCAGAGTGTCCCTCAATCTTCAAAGTAGTACTCATGGTGAGGAACCTCTGCAAGTGTTTATTGGCATCTTCATTGACCTTTTCGGTAAAAAAATTCCTCTCAAGTTGAGTGGTTGTGCTTGGATGCAGTTGAAAATTCGGCACAGTCATCGGTTGGCAGTCTACCAGTCGGTGCATTTGTACCACCATAGTCACCAAGTAGACTCTCAGATGTTGGTGGATTTTCTCCCATTTGTATTTCCTTTTCAGACTCTGAACCTGAATGATGTAAGACAACTTCTTCTGACTCCAGTCTAGCTTGTCTACACCTTGCGTGAAAAGTTCTTTCGATTTCTGCATCAAAAAGAAATTCAGCCGATGACTTTCCTTATATACAAAGATTAGACATAAATAAGTAATAATAAAAATATAAAAATAACAAAAAATAAAATTTTAGTTGCAGAGCAACAAAATTCTAATTGAACTCAAATCAAACTCTATATTTTGGCAGTCCCCGACAACAACGACAAAAACTTGATCGGTAAAATAACAAGTGTACTAATTTTCCAATGTAGTAATAATGGGAAATACTAAAGTATCGATCTCAAGGACTACGTATAAGTATCAAGTTTAATTCGTGGTTCAATTAAACAAAAACTTAATTTGAGATTTTGTTTGAAAATTGTCACTTAATGATAAGTAAAAAGAAGCAGAAATATAAATTGGCTTTTTCACATATATGAGGAGCATGTTATGGTAAAGTGTATAATTTGCCCTGTAATAACCTTGAATCCTGATTTTCTTCAACAAGTTCATAATACTCAATTACTAGATCTTTAGTTTATTTTCCCCTAAGTCCTTAGTGGGAAAACATTTGAATATTCATCCTAAATCCTAAGTCCTTAGAGAATTATGATGAAATCAAGCCTTTGTTTTATCAAGATTTAACCAGTAACTATAGGATATCTCTAGTACTAGATGATATATACTATAGTCTAATCGTACAAAAACCTTAACAAATGCAGTCCAGCTGATTGTTAACCGTAAATCAATCCTTGTTGGTCCGACAAAAAAAGAAATAAAAACTTTGTACGATCAAATTGAATATGAAAAACAAATAAATTGTTGAAATTAGGAATTCAGAGTCATTACAAAATTAAATCAGGGACACCCCCTAGAATTGGGGGATTTAGCTACTCATATTGTTCAAAAGAATTTCAATAACATAAAAGTTAGACATTACATATAAATGATGAACTTTGATCTTCAATTACATTGACTCGTGAAAAATCTCCGTCCTCCACTAATCTCAAATGTTGCTCTCTTCAATCGTCAAAATTCTCCGCTAGCAAAAAGTCTCCTAATTCATCGTGAAAACTCATCTAAATAGCAAACATTCACTTAGGTCAGTTGGAAATACCTAAAACACCCTCGCAGGCCAACTATTGAGCAAAATAGCATAAAATACCAAAATCAGTGTCGCAGCCTAACACAGACCGTGTGAGGCAACACAGGTGTCTGTGTTGTACCTCTGGAAATTTGTATTTTGATTTTCTGGTACAGACCTCCTGACACGGGTCGTGTCAGCTAACACGGGCATGTGTCAGCTCCCTCACTTCCCATATTTCTTTTTCTCGTCCTGGTCTTTATTCTGACACGGCCCGTGTCAGGCCTCATGTAGCATGGTATTTTGACTTCCTCTGAAATTTTGAATATCACACTCTTTCGCCTGATTTATTCCTCTGAGTCTATAAACACTAAAATACACAACCAATGTATAAAATATGGATAAATAAAATAAAATGCTTGACAATATAAAAAAAAGATAACTAAAATCAATCGTAAATAACTGTGTAAAAACTATTGATGAGCAATAGTTGAACATATTTGTCTCGAAGAAGGAAAATGAAGTAGTAACTCTTTCCATAAAATAATAATATTTAAATATGATTATGTATTATTCAGTGTGATTCAGTTTTGATTTGAATTCTCAATTTTTAATTTGTTTTCGGCCAACAATAAGATAAGTTATTATGGTTAAAGAGAAGACCTTTGTTTTTTTGGGGGCTGAGACAAAAATAAGGTGAAATTATAGTATAATTTATTGATTTTGGGGTTGATATGAAAAAATAAGAAATTATTAGTGTAGTGTTTATTTGAAATAATTATAACTCGATTAAGACCCGCGCGATTTACAGTTGTAAATTAATTAATTTATTTTTTATTGAATTTTAAACTTGTTAAAGTATATGTTTTCAAAAAACATGATTACTAAATTTATATTTATAATAATTTATTGTGAATTATAATTAAGACAATTATATGAATTAATCATATATAAAAGATAGATTTTATTTGAAAGGAAAATACATGTTTGTAATTGAGAATGACATTATAATTAATTTTGCAAATTTAAGTAATTATAAAATAATTTTGACTATCATGATTTTAGTTTTATTTGTAATTATTATCAAATAATACTTTATTAATTTTATAAAATAAATTTATATCTATTTTGTCAATCTTTAAAAAATTCAAAATGACAACTCAACTTTAAGCCAGAGGTGTTGAATTGTTGTGATTGTGTATAACTTGCATGTGTTATTGTAGTTCAATGGTAAAGGATAGTGTTTAGGGATCAATTTGGTGAAATAGACTTAGCGTACGAAAATATGATTTTTACATATTCATTATTTAATATTTAAATTTAATATATATATATATATATATATATATATAATTGAGATAGTAATTTAATTGTTTTTTAAGTAATTATTTTAGTTTTATTAATGAAATTCTAAAATTTTATTTGATTTTGTCGAATAGAAATATAAATTTATTTTTTTAGATATCATTTTTAATATTTTTATTATACTCTCTATAGTGACTATTATAAAATAAAAAATTAAAGTATATTCACTTTGGTAATATATATTTATGAAAATAATATATTTATCTAATTAATAATTAATTGTTAAATTAAATATATTTTCGATTATAACTATTTTAAAATTAAAAATATTTATTTTAAGGGTTCATTTTTATATAGCTTCAAAGAAAACAATTATAATTTTAGTGTTTAGATTCACATGTTTATTTTAAATGAATAATATCATATATAGAAAAGAAAATTCTCGCAAATATACGACTGACAATTTTATATATTAAACTACTACATTGTCCACTTAGGTTTTGCTCGGAACAAATAATTAAGTATAGTAACCATCTTTCCATTCACTAAGATAATTTATTAGATATTTATGTTTGTTATACTCCAAACACCATAAAAAGAACAATATAGTACCAAGAGAGGTTATTAGATAGTTACAATAATTATTAGATATTTGTGAAAAAGTTGATGTAGATTGAACTAATAATACTGTAGATGATTTAAGAACAATATAAAAAAAATTCAAGATGACAACTCAACTTTAAACGTGTGTTATTGTAGTTCAATTGTAAAGGATAGTGCCAAAGAATTAATTGGTGAAATAGACTTAGAGCAAGAAAAAAAAATGATTTTTACATATTCATTATTTTTCACGAAAATACTCTCACTATTAAACATTATCTATTTTAAATTTGAAATTAAGAAAATATAATTAGTTGAAATAATAGTTGTCTTGTTAGATTATTTTTGTTATAAATTGGATTTTTTCTTCCGCATTTGTCAAGATTCGAGCCCGTGATATTTAATAGAGAATAAATATTGTATTTATTTATTTGAAAAAAATAAAATTTTGAAGGTGCCACATAAGATTATGGGATAATGAGGCGCAAATGGAATAAAAGAGTTAACATGTGTTACTATATAATTTGCCACTTCAGATTTAATTGTATTGCAATTGAGATTCATAGTGTAGTAGTTTTACTGTTTCAAACCTAGAAAATGAATAATATTAATTTTAATGTTTTACCGAAAAAATTCTTTCAAAATATTTTAGAAATACATTTTTGAAATAAATTTAATGATAAAATAAAGTGAATTTAAAAAACGAATAAATATATATATGTAGAGTATTTTTGAAAATGTAGTTTTAAAATCTGATGATATTTTTAGAATTTTATACAGTGCATTAAGAAGGTTATGCGGTGAAATGATAAATATCCAGTTTGCAAAAATATTGTTTGAACACATAAGGACTATATTAACATTTAAAAATTAAGAGACAAAAATAGACAAAAGGAAAGATAAATGACCAAAAATGATATTATACCTAAATCCAATATTAATAAATTTTTACAAAAATTCAAATAAAATAATAAAAGTCAAAACTAAAAATTGGTATAGTCATAATAATTAAAAAAAAAAGTTTTGCAGTAATTAAAATAAAAAATAAAACATACGGTGGTGTATAAAGTAAAACAATAGCTGTAAATAATAACCCACTTGCTTTCTCGCTGGCGGTCAATCAACTTCATCGACGTAAATAGGCCTCCGATCATGACTCTTGCCTCTTCTTGAACCGTTTGAACTGTCTCCAAAAGACGATAACCATCTAGAGAGTTAGTTAGGGTTTACAGTTAACGCCATGGATTTACAGAAAAGAAGGATTCGGTTATTCGTAATTGTTGCCGCTGTTATTGCTCTTAGCATCACTGGTATTTTTTTTCTTCTTCCATTTCATTCTATTGATTTTGATGTATTAGTCATTCAGTTGTGATTAAGGGAGGATTCAGTACTTGATCATTTGATTTAGTATTCTAGGTTACACTATGATTGTTCTGATTTGGGGATTTATTTTCATGTTAAGCCATTCAATTCATGTAAATCACTTTATAAAACTTGTATACTCTGAAAGAATGGAGAAATATAACTGCACATACTATGGAATGGAATGAAATTAATTCATGTTTCAATATTGGTCATGCATGTTGAAGACATTCGGTTACACTGTCTGTAAGTACTTGTCTGAAGTGTCTGCTTGTGCTGAAATAAGTTGCTCCTTTCAGCTGAAAAATGCAGGGAGCTTATTGGTGAGGAGGGATCATCCCAAAGTGGAAAGTTCACGTTATTAAACTGCTTTGACATGGGCTCTGGAACTGTGGCATGTGCTGTCAAGGAAGGCGTGAAGCTCTATTTTTACAGTATAAGATCTACTCATGTTGAAAAAGCAAGGCAACGAGCGATCGAGTCTGCCCTTGTTGACGCTGTTAGTCAAGGGATGTCCCCAACAGATTCAGCTAATCATGCACAGAAAGAAAGTAAAAAGGCAGCAAAATTGGCATCCCGTCAAGCCAAACGGATTATTGGTCCCATCATCTCTTCTGGATGGGACTTTTTCGAAGCTATTTACTATGGTGGTACACTCACAGAGGGGTTCCTTAGGGGTACTGGTACTTTGTTTGGTGCTTATGGGGGAGCATTCATGGGGGAGCAAAGCCTTGGCAGAGTTGGCTATCTTGTTGGAAGTCACATGGGCAGTTGGGTTGGTGGCAGAATAGGATTAATGATTTATGATGTGTTTAATGGAGTGCATTTGTTGTTGCAATTTGTTCAAACAGGCGAAATTGAAGTTCATAAAACACCTGTTAATGAGAATTTTGATGCTCCAGAAACTTCCTTTGATGGCCAAGTTCCTATTTTTGAAAGCTCTGAAAGTTCCAGTTTATATGAACCACCTCCCTCTGAAAGTTCCAGTTTATATGAGTCATCTCCCAGCGATGAAACCAATGCTTATGAATCTACTGATTATCAGAACTATGAGTCATATGAAAATTCTGAACTGTGATGAAAATTTGAAGCCTATATATTGACATTTGTTCAAAATGTAGATGGATTTCAATTTCAATGTCATTGCTGCAGCATAGTATGTATAAATTTCACTATTTTTTATAAACATAAATGCACACTCCACTGCACATTTATTTTCTCTTCTGAGTGTTGCACTTGTGCATTTTGTATTCTATTCCTTGTAATTGTAGGAAGCTGTTGTTAGATCTTATAAAACAGCCTATCCGACTAGGGATGGCAATGGGACGGGGCGGGAGACGATTTTTGTATTCCTCAATTCCAAACTCGAATTCAAAATAAATCCTCGTTCTCCGCCCCAAATTCCGACGGATATGAATAATTAAACCCGCTCCCCGATCCAAACGGGTTCGGAGATCCCCGCCCCCAAATCCAAGACTTGCCTCAAATCCAGAATCGGCCCCGAATCCATAATTCTCCCCGAGCCCCGAATCTACAAAATGTACCAAATCCTAACAAATATTAACATACATTACAAAAATATTAATTCATCAAATATAATTAATATTCCAAATTAACAAAATCAAATAATCCAAACTATAAAAATTAGATAGTAAAATACACATTGATATTTCAAACTACCATTCCAATAGGGATGGTAATAAAATCCGTTCCCATAGGTACTCACTCAAAATTGCCTCGAAGCTGACGGAAAAAATCTGCTTTGATTGGATTTGGGTTCGAGTTTGAGATTTTTCCGATTACACAATATAGAAATGGGTCAGATAATAGAGAAATTAGTAACCACCCGAATTTGTCCGTTTATTTCATTATGTACACTATTATTTATTTTTGTTAACTTAGAATATTAAATATGTGGTCAATGTTTTAATTATTTGATTTGTATTTATTATTTAAAATATTTGAGATGCATGTATGAAATATTTTAAGATTATTTTATTTTATTATTTATAATAAAATTTAATTTTGGAAAAAATAGTTATTTCTATTACAAAATTTATGTTGTTAAATAGATGGTGGTGGAGTGGGGATATCCGAATTCGTTTGGGACGGATTTAGATTTTAATTCTCCATCTCTAATTGAGTTTAGGACGGAGAACGAAGATTATTTAGAAATTCGAGTTTAGATTTGAGTTTGGGGGAGGTAAAAACCATTCCCAACCCGCCGCGTTGCCATGCCTACATCCAAACAAACACATAACTAAATTTATTCTACATTCCAAACTACCATCAAAACAACCATATAACAAAAAAATAATTATACATCATTGTCTATTGGAATTGCTAACAAAAATAGATAAGCGCCCAACATCAATTTTGTCTTCTTTATTTCTCTAAATGCTATTGCTCGTCTCAAAGAGAGAAAGAACACCACTCGTCAATATTTCACATATATAAAAAATACAAGTTAAAATATAAACATTAATAATAAATAAGAATAAAAGTAAAAATGCATTACTCTTGTGTTCCAATAATAAATTAGTTGGATGGATACTTCACACTCTATACTAGAAATTAGTAATTAATAAATGTAAAGAAAATCTCACCTTCTTTCTCGGGCTCTATTTCATCGAGTAAAATAGTGAAGTTATTGCTTAATTTAAAACTCATACCACCTAAAAATATGAAATGCAATACAATATAAATAATAATTAACTAACAAATACAAAATTATTTGTCATTTCATAATATATACAAATTGGAAGAATAATATAAAAGCACCACTATTTCCGGTATTCCATAACCAACTTCTAGCACACATCAAAGCCTCTAAAATTGTCTAATGAAGTCAACACTGATGCATGCTTAAAATACGACCGCTAGTATTGAATGCAGATTCTGAAGCTACTGTAGAAATAAGAATTGCTAAAATATCTTTTGCAATTGCTTAGAGTGTTAGATATGTGATGTCATTCAACTTCCACCATAATAAAATATTAAAATCAGAACTTCGTAAAACTTCCTCTTCCAAATAATAATCCAAGTCTGGTCTAACAAATGAGTTCTAGTTTTTTTTTTCCTTTTTCCGAACATATGCATCATAATCCTCTAAACCATCATTAGCCATAAGACTAGATTCTAACATTGGTGAGCCACCACAAGTGTCTTGATTGGACTTCAATTGATAATCAATAATTAACTCATAACACAACTGTTGAATCCTCTTAACTTACTCAAAAGAGTCATGTTCATACAAATTTTTATAATAGTATTTAAGTAATTCTATTTTGTATCTAGGATTCAAAACAGTAGAAACTCTCATTATATCATGGTGACATTTCAATATTTATCAATTTTTGCAACATCTTGTTAGTCATTTCTTTGATCGACAAATTAAAAGAGTTAATCCAATCTGATATTGTTAATTTAATCTTACAAATCTCAGGAAAAAACATATTGACAGTGAGATACTTAGTGCCAGAAATAAGTTCAGTGATCTTATTGAACAACTTCAATCTTTCACAAACATCATTTACAAATTTCCATTGTGAACTAGTTGAAACACAAGTGTATTCAGTTTCACGTAGTCTTAACCGACTAAATACATCCTCATATAAAATAGCAATACTAAGCATTTTATAAGTCGAGTTCCATCTAGTTGGACAATCTAAACTTAAATTTTTAGTGCAAGAAATTCATAATTGCTTAGCTGTTTCCCCAAAATTTTCATTTCTTTTAGGAGTTGCAGTCCAATAAACTACATTATCCTGAATCTTTTCTATCCCATCTTTCACTAGTTTTAAACCATCCTTTACTATCAAATTTAATATATGTGTGCAACAATGTATATGAAGTAAAGATCCATCACTCAACAAAGTACTTAAATGCAACTTCTCCTTAATTTTGTCCATCATAGCATCATTTGTGTTACAATTATCTAAAGTGATAGTTAATAATTTTGTATCAATGTTCCAGCATAATAGACATTTAACTAAAGCAAAATAAAATCTATCACTTGAATGAGGAGCACAAACATAAATGAACCTAGCATATAGTAAAGTTCAAAATATATTATAATAAATATTATTAATTATACTATAAACTAGTAAACTAATACTAGTGTTTAGAAAAAGGAAGTTTATGAAGCAAAGCTAACGTATTAAATTTATGCTTAAGCTAAACATAAAAAATTATAATTACCTCAAAATGCAATTTTGCAAATTCCAAGATTCATCAATGTAATGTGCATTAATAACCATATATTCCTTTTTTTTTATTAATTGAAGTTCACATGTCTAAAGTAATTGTCACTATTGCTAAAAAAACTATATAATAATTTTGAAGTTATTGTCCTTTCAAACTCGTACATTATAAATATCTCATTCTTAATAACGTTTCTACAAGGAACCTGAAACAATGATAGTAGAGAAGCAACAAATCATCGAAAACCAATATGATCTATAATTAAAAGTGGATACTCATGCATAATTATTGCACATGTAAGTTCTTTCCTTGAGTCGCATAATGATTTTTTAGCTCAGTAAGTAGTATACCCTGACCTCTCGCACCACCACCTTCAACCATATTCATGCCCAACAATTCTTCATACAGAGAAGGGAGGAGCCAACCCAGTTGGCGCATCCACTCTCCATTTTTTCCTAGGCGCCATCCCACTTGGCGCCTCCTCTCTCTTTTAGCCAAGTGAGATGGCGCATGCACTTTAAAAGTGAGAGGAGGCGCCACCTCACTTGGCTCCTAGAGCAAAATGCAATTTTTATAAATAATTCGTCTGTTTCTCCGTCATTCCTCACACTTTCTCGCACCGGTATCTTATTTTTTTCTCTGTTATTTGCGTCATGACATCGCCCATGATTTTTACCCGAGATGGTTACGTTATTTTCTCCGCCACAAAACCTCAGATGAAAATGAAATTCTGGCACATTCACTCCATGGAGCGTCTGAAGAGGGAGTTGATGCGATGGCTAGAGGGAGACATCGAGGAGGAGGGAACAAATTAGAAGGATCCAGCAAAGACGAACAACAACCTCACTTGCGACACGAAGACCTAATTTTTGGTTGGAGGAAGTCAAAATAGACAGTGACGTAATGTTAATGATGCATGGGTCAGATGAAATTGTTTTAACGGTTGTAATTTCGTAGATGGTTTATCGTGTTTTATTTCTTGTTCGCGCAAGGTATATTGTAACAAATGCTGTTAACGAAAAACCCTAATGTTTACAACTTAAAAAAGTAAAGATGTTTTGTAATACAATTTTTATGTGGTTGAGCTAGTAGCCCGATTCAGACAATTTTTGTGATTGTGTCCGACCTGATGACATAAACCATGCTTTCTTTCCAACTTGTCAAGAAAGTCCATTTCAGTTGTGATGCGCTTACTTTTGGGACGACTCCTTTTATTCCTTCGCATTTGGTCATTGTGTCATACTATTTCGCCGTCGTATGCAGGCCAATAATCAGGTTTTGCTACCAAAGGGAAGCTGTTGTTGTATATGTTTAGCAAGGTTTCAGATTTGTAAATGGGAGACAGAAGTTGTAGCGCGTCTTGATGTGTATAGGCACACGCAGCAATGACATGAGAGCAAGGCATACGAAAGGCTTGAACTTGCCACAATCGCACCAACGAGAAGGTAGTATAACCTTATACTCTTGTCTTGGCAGGCCCTCGTTGTGGTTGATTGTCTCTTTGACAATGAAGTTGTGGCTGTGTCGGTCAAACCGTATAACCAGATGGGTGTTGGCTTTGGCACTTTCTGCCTTAATGCACTTCATGCAGCTTTCACTCCATAGTTGTCCAGGTTGCAGCACAGCATTCCATATTTCACCTCTTTTGGCAAACAACGAAGCCATCCTAAAATATGTTGATTTAACCAAAGTAGTTACTGGGAGGTTTCGTATGCCTTTGAATACCCCGTTCATGGATTCAATTAGATTTGTTGTCATGTGGCCCCATCTTTGTCCATTGTCGTAGACCTAGTCCATTTTTCTATCAGAATATTATTGATCCACCTACCGACATCCGGATTTGATAAACAGATCTCGTTGCGATATAATTTGAAC